AGGCCCCATGCTTCGTGGGATAAAATTTATAACCTGCTGCCTCAACAAATATCAAGTTGGCCTTTGCAGTTTTATAGTCAAAGACTTCAAATATGGGAATGCATCTTTTGTGGAAATTGCATATACCATTGTTGCCTCTCATATATCACAGCTTTATTCAGAGACAGCAAAGGCAAAGCCTTCACTAATGACTTCAAACCTGTGCCACATGTAGGGTTTTATTTTCTAGGATTCTAAGCATCTTTTATTAGAGTCATTTGGCCTGTTTCTGAGAGACCTTTGTGATGACCTTATTTGCTGTGAATGGAAAGTTTCTGAGGATTACTGTGTCACCTCCCCCCAGGTCAGTTAGAGGACTTAGTAGAAAAACTCTTCTGATCTGAGGAAATGTCATTGTGAGCCCAGAATGAAAAACATCTGATTAAACCTTTTGGGTCTATAGAGTCATGAAATGGCAAATTATTTCAATGGTTTATTCTATACAAACAAAAGTTGCCCTAATGATTTGAAGAAAAGAGAAGATAATATTGTTCTTTAAAACCAGATGAACTCAGACAAAATTGTCATAGATTTGACAATGTCACAGATAACCCTCTCTCTCATGGCAATGTTTTGGAGACCTGTTAGGAACAACTGTTTTCCAACATAGCTTGGTGAAAGCTTTAGGCCTTCCCCCAATTGACTGGGATTAGACCCTCAAAGTATAAAACAAAAAACAGTCTGCACCATAAGAGTACCCTTTCCCCAAAGGCACTTGTTGAAGATGCTGAGGGCTGGGCCTGTAAATCAACATTTACTGAACTCTGTGCAGCAGTAAAGCACTGTACGTTCTGAGAGCCACAACCCTAGGAGCTAGACCACTGAGACCAACCTGACTGACAGTGAACTCTTTGTCTCTCTCTGCCTAGGTGCAAGTGTAATCTCCATGCCACTGTGTGTGTGTATGACAACAGCAAACTGACATGTGAATGTGAGCACAACACTACAGGTCCAGACTGTGGGAAATGCAAGAAGAATTATCAGGGCCGACCTTGGAGTCCAGGCTCGTATCTCCCCATCCCCAAAGGCACTGCAAATACCTGTGAGTAGCTTTGCTCTCTAATCCAATGTTCTGTGCATGATGAGCTGATAGTTCCTCTCAATTTCCACTTGCAATTGTGATTTTACTCCTCTAACCCATCGTCCCACTCCTCTTCAAAATGCAGCTTAAGTTTTAGTCCCTATTTTCTACTTTGTTAGTGTGTTTCAGCATTCTGATCACCTGTTAAAATCAGTCTTCTGATTTTAACAGGTGATCAGAATGTTTCTTAAAAATTACAGAAACAATATTTTCCAAGTGGATCAAACAATAGGTGATTTTTCTCCTTCTCCAAGTTAATTTCCCCTTGAAATAGCAAAAGTCTTGAAAACTCTCAATCCTAACTGACCATAAATACTTTCAGAAATTTTGGGGGGTATTTACAAACCCATTGCCCACCCTGGTAACCCAAGATATGCTTTTTCCAGAAACATTTTCCTATCTAATTTCAGCTAGATTCTAACACTTCTCAGTGGAATAACTGGCTTCTCCCAAGCTCCAGCAGTTGAGCCGGGACTACCACAGATGTTATAGGGAGAGACTGCTTCTAGATACAAAGCATGACTGTAGGGCCTCTGGGTACTAAGGGGCTTTCTTGTGTGTGTGAAAAGGCACAGGTATTATCTGTGCTCCCAGGAGCTGTGTGAGATGCCCCAGCGCCACTCATATGTTTATACGAAATCCCTGAATAACCATCCGAAGGAGATCAGACTCTGAGAGGCTCAAGGAGAAAAGCGATTATTTCCCAAATAATTTGCCAAATTCCATGGATGGAATGATTAATCACCTGCAAAAGCCCAAGGTTAGCTTGCTTTCAAAAGCAGAGAAAGGGCGAGGTTAGTATATACCCATGCAGTGAGAAGTAAAGAGAACAGCAGGACAATGAGCACAGGAGAATGGGAACCTAAAAAGCCACTGGCTCTGTGCAAGGCTAAAAATGTTATCAGGCACTTCAAAGCTGCAGCTGTGAGAAGCCAAACCTAAAAACTAATATCACAAGAACCAGGACCTTATCAAGTTAAGTGTAAGAGTAATGGACCAAGTAACAAGCCATGAAGTGTGGGGGCATGAAATTATGATAAACTTTCTATGAAGCTGAAAAAAGAAATCCCTCAAAAGGTTAAAAAAAATTTCTTTGCAAGGATGTTCAGTTTCTTTCTACACTGAAGGAAAAAAAATCTGACTTCTTGCTCCTAAAATTAATACATTAAAGCTCTGTTGAGCGGAAATGTTGATTTTTTTCAAGGCGAGTTTATTAATGGAGACTCAACTGTTGAGAGCCAGAGACTGAAAACTTGGAAGGTGTCTCACAAGGTTATTTATTGCAATACCCTGTGGCTGGCTACCTGAGAACCTCTCTCACCAACCGTCGTCAAATTTAGTTGAAAGCTTTCGCAAAAGAAAAATGGCTCAGATTTCATTTTCAGGGTCTACTGAATTCTTTAGTGGGACAGATGAAAGAGGACGAAGTTCAAAAATACTTGCTAGCACCCTGGCTCATCCTCGGGGCAGGTTGACTTGCCAAGGCCACCAGAGAAGCAGCAGGGGTCAACTGCTATTGAAAGCCTGAGCTTCTATCCTAACAAGACCTTATACCCATAACTGTGCTTCAAAGACTTGTTTATTTCAAGACGTTTTCACTGGGAAGACCTTCTCATTTCAGCCAAGCTGTCTCACAGAAATGGATGTCTTATCATATACTCCATGGAAATGACTTACATAAAACCTGACCCTTTGCATCGTGAAGATTATCAAGTCAGTCCCTGGCCAAAGGAATGCAACCTCCTTTGATTTGCCTTGTAGGGCAAATTGTCCATTCATCCCCTAGTTTTTATTGGACTTCTCTTGACTTCTGAACTTTTCTACATCTCTGTTAAAATCGGAAAGTGACAGACCCAGTGGCCAGGAGGGTTCAGTTCATCATTTCAGTCACCAATATGGCAGAGATTTGATGAACAATTTTAGAGAGTATCTGAAATGGTCTAGTCCTGCAAGGAAGAAATCTCTTGACATATCAGACATTGTTTAAAATACACAGGCCTGGCAGTCAGAAATTTAGGAGTTTGGTACACATGTTCTAGAATCAAATCCCATTCCTCCATTTACTAGCTGTGTGACCTTGAAAAAGTATAAGCCACCCTCTCCCACACCCCGTTTCCCTTCCATAATGTGAGGATAATAAAAGTTCTTACCTCACAGGGATTTTGAGAGGATTGAATAAGCTAATGCATGCAATATGTTTAGCATAACACCTGTCACAAAGTAAGTGTTCAAAAATACTTTATTTTTAGGATATTTTTCATAAGGCAGTCTTGCCCATTGCTGGACAGTTTTTTAATTGTTACAAAAGTCTTTTCTTAACATCAATGTTTAGTGTCTCTGAGTTCCCATCTTAAATAGTTAAAGAGCTATCTTGACTCTGGTTTATTTCTTCCTCTGGTTAACCATCATGCATCATTCACTCCTTTTTCATGTGATAATGTTTTCATGTCCCTTTCATGTCTGTCCTGGAAGTTCTGCAATTAGTATGGTACTTCAAACCAAGCACTAAGCACAGGACTTCCTGAACCTTTTTGATTCTCTTTTCATTCACATTGCCTTTTGCTTACACACATGCATGCATGTGCGCACACACACACACACACACACACACACACACACACATACACACACCCACTTTCACATGGCTCTACTTGATCCATAATGAGTCAGTTATCTTAGAAAGACACTTAGGATATGTCATATCCTAATACCAAACTTCAAATCTAAGAAATGAGAAAAGAGGGACTGCAACCTCAGGCCCTTTCCTTCCTCTCAGTAGCCTAGAAATGCCTCTCATGCTGGAGAATCTCAAAATTTTAGCAGAATCTCAAGCAGCCGGGGAACTTTTGGATAGGAAGGTCAGGTGCTGCCCACTGCCACGGGTTTTAGCAAGAGAAGTAGGATGCTTTTATTAAAGCAGGGAATTACAAGATCTCCTTCCAAAGACACTTACATCACCACTCAGGGACATCCCAGATTGGTACCTTGCTTAGAGTCTCTGGGCTTTGGAGGTCCTGCATCCCATAGCAACACAGAGCATATAGTGATGAGGAAGAACCTGGGGACCATCGACAGTCTAGAATAACGCCTTCCCAGTTGGACACACCAGAGGGATGATAAACTTGACCAATGCAGAGTAATAATTTTTGTGGTGCTATTTTTATTCTTTGTGCTTCTATTCAACACCTAGTGTGTTTTCTTGTTATTTAAAAGATATATATATGTGTGTGTATAAAAATCTTTTTCTTATTTTTCTACATAACTTAATGTTTTGTAGAAAAGACATCTTTCTCTATTGATCTTCATTCCATATTCAATTCTATTTTGAAAGTCCTCTGAATTCCATTGCCATCTTCCAAACAGATAGCACCTCTATCCAATTCCATGCTTAATCATGATTCTCATGATTCCCATTGTTTAGCTCATAGAGAGAAGCATTAAATTGCAATGTTTAAACTCTTATCCCTGTGGAATAACACAGGATATTTGTCTACATGTAAATTCTTAAAACTTAATAATCTCCCTGTAGAAATCATAGCTCCATTGTAATATTTACACCTCTGCTTCTCAAACGGTGTTCTACAATCCTTAAAAGAATTCTATGTCCAAATAAGGTTTAGAAAGTGCTGTGCTCTATCCTAACGCTTGCACAGTCACATTTCCTTATTAAATACATTTGAGAAGTCCTACAGTAAAGTAACCTGTTCTACCCACTACTTCCCAAACTTATTTGCTTCATGGAACACTTAATGACTTTCTATAAAACACTCTTTTGGGGACATGCTGGTCCAAACAATTTCTTTCAGCCCTGTCATAGAAATGTCACGGAGACAGACAAAAAGCTCAGCTCATTCAGTTGTATTCGCTCTCTTAGTTTTCTGTTACCTACACAGTCTAATATTCTTCAAAGAAAGAAAATTAAATTGGTCTGACATTGACGTTATTTGTTTGTTCAGAAATCCAACTTGAATTGTTATACAATATCTAGGTCTCCTCTGAGTGATGGAAAGTAATTTGATGATTTTTCTATTATTTTCCCTACTATTAAATTTGCAGTGACTGATTTCTATTTTCCCAGGTGAACAAACGGGTGTGTCATTATCCAGACAATTTCCTAAATGCTTCACAAGCATTAGTCCATTTTAAGCTCACAACAGTCTTATGACAAAGATCCTAGAATTTTCATTTTACAGACGTGGAAACATATGATTACCAGGGAAAGTATCTTGTTTAAGATTTGGACAGATAGTAAGCGTGAAAGGGGCAATTGGAATCCAGGTGTGTCTTGACCCCGAAGACTGCACATTGGTCCACATTGGCCTTCAGATTAAATTTGAGTGATTTTTCTCTGTCCTCTATTGGAGTTCAGGCTCCATTTTGATATCTGGTTAAATAAGCCAGTCTTCTCCAAACCTGCTTGCTTTCTAGATCTGTACATGGTGTTTCTCTGCCTTTGAAGGCTTTCCTCTGTTCCTCTTTAAATGCTCCTGCTTCTCACCTCTTCCCAGTCTACAGATTTTTTACTGTGGCATTTCATTCTATTCCTGTGGTCTTACTTCTCAGTATTATTGGTTTAGTAGTAAACAACCAAATCTACTTTCAACCTTTTTAGTGAGTCCAGACCAATTTTGCCAGCCGTCTGTAAAGATCTCAAAGTCAACATGCTCTATACTAATTTCATTCCTTACCCTCAAAGCTCCTTTCTCTTCACTTTTTATTGAAATCCTGCTCATTTTTCAACACTTCTCTTCACTGCCAGCTCCTCATTGAAGGCTACCTAACCTCTCTCATGCAAAATCAGTTACTCTTCTCTTTCTTTAGATTTTTGATATATATAGACTTACAAATATATATAGACTTACAAAACTATGTCTAGCAAAAAATGATAATAAGGATAATGATAGTTACTCTTTATTATATTTATCATTGGCTTTTGAACTTTATGAAGTGTTTTATGTGTT